GTATAGACTGCTGGTATCTGCTTGGTTTCTTAGTCACAGAATCACAGAATCTGGAGTTTCCTAGTTTAACTTCCCAAAGTCATTTGGATACTGTGGAAAGAAGGTATGTCAGCAAACAATACTGGTGCCCAAGGTGGTTAGAGGTAAGAAATTGTCCCCCCTGGCCCACATCACCAGGCATAGGTCACCTTGTACCCAAGCTTCTCGATCATAAATAAAACCTAGATGAGATAAAAACCTTGTATATGGCGAATGTTCATGTTTCCCTGAAGGCATGTTTTTCTGCAGACTGAACATAACGACCAGAAGATTCCAGCACCAGGAACAAAAACATCCCTGAAGACCCCTCCCACAGTGGACAATAGAATGTACCTTCATCCCACTGCCTCCTCTAGGAGATAGGTTCTTTGAAAACACCAGCTTTGCTGTCTCCTTTTCTTGTCACAAGGAAATCAATACTTGTCCTTTAAACATTCCATCTTGGCAGTGTCTTTTATTGAACCCAGATACCCACCAAGAGAACAGACACATTGAGTTTGGTTACACAAAGACAAACTTCAGCCCTGGTGAAGAGTAGGAAGTTACATACCACTTTAACCACCACATGACTGCTGCCTAAAACAGCATTGATAGTTCTCTCTCAGGGCCATACGGTTTTCTAAAGCAGCCCACAGGTGCTGAATGTCAGGTTTAGAGCAGAATAGTGACTTGGACTTTATCTGCTCTCTCCAGAGTCAGATCGGGTAGACTTTATTTTACGGCTTCCTTCAGATTCCCAAAATATCTTCAGGCCTGCCAGGGCGGCTCAAAATCTTAACTCCAGAGTTTCCCCCAGACAAATCCTGGAAGGAAGAGAAAGTTGGCCTTTTGGAATTAGGGATAAAGAACAAATTAAGTGTGAAAGGGAATGTCTCATGGTAGAGGAGACATGAATGGTTGGTTAGGATAGATAGGTATAGGAAGGGTGTTCCAGCAGAAAGTGAACAGTAAAGAACTACCTCTGTGTATCTAGGCCTCTACTCTCTTCCTCCTCCTCCTGAAGAATGCCACATCAGCACTTAGAAGCAGGAAGGAAGAAGCTCCAGGAATCCTAGTTCATTCTAATGGAAGTACTGGCTCAGCCAAGGTGACCTTATCTGCCAACATAAACTCCAACAATCTTTCTTTAGTCAGAAGGATGAGGGCTCTCAGGCCAAAGTCCCCTTAACATGATTTAATCCTGTTCACCAGGACACTCCTTTGGAGGCCCTGTGCTCTCCTTTTACCGTTAGGCTCCCTAAAATGCATGTGAGATTATGAACAGGCTCCCTAACCTACCAAAGTAATCAAGACCAAGAAAGGCATCAGTGAATAAAGATTAAGTTCCCCCTACTCTACAAGTCCTCCTGTTACAGTTTAAAGTTTGTTTTTCCCTCAGCATCCTACTTCTATTCTCTACCTTCATGTTTACTGGCTACCAGCTAACCTGATCCATTTATCCCAGGAAGGACATCTAGAACTAAGGAGACTTTGTAGGCAGTGCTTTAAAGAGTGGTATCTTTGGCCTCATTGTTGGGGGAGAAGGGAGGGAACTATGAAGTATTTGTATCAAGTTCTGTATCCCATGGAGACTGATGTCTCTTCATGTGAACTGGAGCTGTTTAACCTAGTCCCATACCTCCTGGGCTCTGGGGGAATTATGTGACCCATGAAGCCTCCTCCCCACCACTCATAAATGGTGCCAGCAACTCTCAAAAATTCGTATCAGAATCCATCCTGTGAGTAGCTGGTAAGTAACCCAGTAATGACTCAGCACTATGACTCTGTCTCCCCACAGGCCAGAATGAAAGGCAGAATCAAACAGAAGGCTCCTCCCCAAAGATGGTCACATCCTCCCCACAAACTGAGTCACAGCCACACTGCCTGGATGGAAAATTACCATGAAAGGGAGGGGAAGGTTAAATTTCCAAGGGTTTTTGAGCTCTCAATCCAGAAATCACAGCCATCTCCTCTCCGCCTGGAACTATAAGTAAAATAGTTCTGCTACCCAAAACTAAGTCCAGGTTTAAAGGAAGTAAGGTTGCTTATGTTCAGGACTATGTGAAAGGTCAGAGGCCACTGTCAACCTCTGAGTGCAGTATTTGTAATAGCCTTGGCCTCTGTGAAGGATGATCTCCTGCTCTTTTATAAGCCTCACCTCCTTGCCACCAAGGGTGAGGCATAGGGACTCCCTTCCCACTCCAGGATTGGGAAGGACTCTTCTCCAGAGAAGCAAGGTCCCCTGCTCCAAGTTTCTTGCAATGAGGCATTCTTACATGGAAATATTGTGGGTTACAATAAGATGCGTTTTAGACCACATTTTTAATTTCAGGTATGATCTGTATGGCTTTCCAACTTCTCAAATTCAAAAAGTCCTGTTGCTTTTCTATGGAACAGTATAAAATGGTATATTTAATTTCATTACAATTTTATTGGCATAAGACAATTATATATTTGCTATAAAAAAGTAATATTCTAAGGCTTACTAAGTATTTGAGTTTTCTGTAACATACACTATTTGTCCATAGCTTATTTCATCATATGCTAGTACTTGTTGGTTCAGATGGCACTGATACAAATTGTAAGAATTCTTACAACTAAGAAAAATTTTATTAACAATTTCTGAATATTGAGCAAAAATGTAGCACCTATTTTGTTTCTGGGATACCACTGGGAGTGTTTGAGAATCTCTTAGGAAGGAAAAAAGAATGGTTAAGAAATCAGGTCCTAGAGTTGGGGCGATCTGGTTAAAAAGCCAGCATTACTACTAACCAGCATTACAAGACCTCAGCCACATTATGCAAGATCTCTAAAGAAAACATATTTTACCTCTGTTGTCAGGATTAAGTGAAAAAACTACTTGTAAAGATTAAAAGATTTTACATGAAAGAACAGGAATCACAGTTCTGGAGTTGGGGTGCCTGTGGGTCACTAGCTGTGCAATTCAGATAAATCACTAAATGCTGGTTTTATCATCCACAAAATATTGATAGGAATGATCACATCTATTTCACAGGCATATTGTGAGAATCCATGTAGAAAATTTACAGTGCGAAGCACATAGCAAATGAGCCAAAGTGTTATTAGCAAATTATTAAAATGCTGAGCATGACGCCCAGTATTCACCTAATTAAGAACTAAATGTTAGCTATCTCTTAATACCACACAGATGAGCTGCAAGGATTCTTCCAGAAGCAGGAATTTCAGTAAGAATGGGCTTACTGATGGGATCACTTATTTACAGAAGAGGTATTTTTCCTACACCTGAAACCAAAGTGGAAGCAAGAGCCTTAGGAGAACTGTAGGAGAGCTGTAGTGATCTTGATCAAGAAAGGGATAAAGGAGTTTAAGAAATAGTTCCTAGGAGGATGAACCTTGAAATAGTTCCTAAGAGGATGGACCTTAAGAATGATACTTCCATGTTAAGGCAGGTTAGGAACTACAAAGCAGATAAGGTACTCAGGTAAAGGAGGTTAGCTCCAAAGTAGGGTACAGGCAATAAAGAACAATAGGTAGTTTAGAAAGGGCTTTGTACACCAAGACGTTATAGTAGAATAAAAAAACCTATACTTGAAGAGCCAAAAATCGTTTAATGTGTTTTGTATTTTCTGTGCTTTTAATTCCTAATCTTTATTAATATTTCATTAAAATATTTGGCTTTGTCCAACCTGTTTCTTGGCACTAACTCAGGGTTAGCAGTTTAGCATTCAGAATTTCAACATGGAGTTGGACTTCACTGAAACAATTATTTCTCTTTCCCCACCTTCCTAACTTTGGACAATTTGGACAATAAAACTGTTTTATTAAGGGAGAACGCATTTTCTTAGGATTTCTATATATTGTAAATTAAATGAACTTCTTGCACCTGTCAGCAATCCCCCACCTCCCTTACCCCAAAGAAATAGCTGGGAGGAGGAAGAGAGTAGGGGCTCTGAAATAGGGAAGCAAAGAACACTGAATAGGTTTTGTGCAGAAAGTAGGGTTCCTAGGGCTAGGACTGCCAAGAAATATGAGTCACTCTGGTCTCAATAATCCTTTTAAAAATGGAGGAACAGTCACAAGTGGTATTTTATATCATTTTCAGACTGCATTGTCAGTCTGGCTACTGCATAGCCAGTAGGTTTCCTTTCTTTATCTAATACTTTGATTAGACTATTGACAGATCTTTAGTACATTATACTTGACAGCCCCGACCCTCAAGATATTCCGCTCTCACCCCAACCCCATCTGGGAGCTTGGAGCAGGTGCTGGGCCACGGCCAGTCAGACCACAGTGATCATATCCAGTCCACAGCACCTTCCATTTTATTGTTTTATTTACAAACAGGGTGAAGTCAATTGGGAAAGCCAGGGGTAAGGAGTCAGTCTAGGCCATCCACATGTGGAGTGGTTCCTGGGTCAGTCTCCACCATGAAGGCCGCCTCTTCTATCCTTTCCTGCCCCTTGGTAATGGCCCCTTGATTCCTCAGGGCAGTCTCGCCAGCTGCTCCTGAGCCCTTTTATGAGGGCAGATGGATCCTGGGGAAACGGGAGTGGTAGGAGGGCTGGGGCCCCCTCAGTTTGTGTAAACCTGAGTTCCGATCACACGCATGATTTCCTTCTGTATCTTGGGGTCCTGAGTATTAATGTTGGCATCGCCCACCTGACCATCCTCATATCTGCCAAAGATAGGGCAAGTATGAACACAAGAGGGCAAACAATACCAAAATGTCAACCAGCTAATCTGTATTTGGAGTTGTACTCATCCCATCCCAGAAAATAAAACCCTTTCTTGTTACTCTATAGAGTGGAAAAGATTTAGCTTATTTGGTTTCCTCTAAACAGACCCTGATGTATACCCATTCCCAGCCTCCAAGAGATACCAACTCCACTCAGTCAGGGACAAGTCCCAAATAACAGAACAGACTTTCCCAGTGGTCACACACCATCACACCCCCACTTCTATGCCTCAGAGTAATCCCCAAGGTACCCTCTTAGACTTACACAAAGAAGAACCGTGTGCACACATGGTCGGACACAGGGCACACCCAGATGTTCCCATGCTTCTGGAGGTCCTTAGATGTAATCACTGGGAATAAGGGGCCAAAAGTTATGAATATAACGCTTCAGTCACAGAGTCCAGGAAAGAAAGGGAAGACAAGATATTTTAACATCATCCCTGGCTCGATCAAGGTACAACAGAAATAAAGGTTGGGGAGTGAGAAAAACAGGGATTGGGCGAGTTACCTACCTTCACAAAGTGCTATACAGTTTAGATTCCGACTCTGCAGGAACCTCGACTGAATGGATCGGGTCTGGAAGAGGAGAATAGAGCCAAGAAGACTGTCACAGCTTTCCCTAGAAAGGCTGGTTAGCGGTGATGGTTGGGGTGGGCATCATGGATAGCCTAGGCTCCCAGCTAATGTTCCCCAGTCCCTCCACCCCCTACACACAAATTTGCTTTCCTATAATTAATCTGGTAGAGCTTAGTTTCTCTCTTTATATTTTCATGTCACTGCATTTAAACTCAAGACTCTATTTTCATACTTATGATTGAGAGTACATGACTCTGGAAGTGTGTTCATCTTACAATAATCTTCAAACCACCCAACCCATGCCCCATCCATCCCTGTAGCCTAAAATGACCCTTGGGGAAGGGTTCTGTCTCATTGGAGCAGAACCAGTGATACCTGAGGGATGGTATTCATCCTGTTATATCTCTGGACCAGCTCATCCTTGGAGGGCATCCTGTGCTGTCCTTTTCCCATTCCTGTCACAGAATAATAAACCCAGGTCATTCGCCCATTCTTTCATTATGTATTTTTTGCAGTACATACCATATTCCAGGCACTGAATGAGATACTTGGTGATACAGAAGTGAATAAAACATGTAAGATAAATGTCCCTACAGAATTTAGTCTGTTGGAGAGGACAGGCAAGGAACATGTAATTTATTTATAACACCACATGGTAAAGGTTATGATGAGAAGAAAACAGAGCACTGTGTGAGCCAGCCTTTGAAGAAGGCTTTCTGGTGACAGTTGGATTAGGACTAGATAGTTAAATAAAGGGGGATAAGAATTCTGGGCAGAGGTAATAAGATATATCAGATCTTAAGGAAACAGGAACCAAGAGATGACATGGAAGAAGTGATGCAGGGTCCGATTAAAGCAGGCTAGAGGCCATATTAAGACAACTGGAACTTATCCTGAGAATATCAGGGAATCACTGAAGGGCTCTAAGACAGGAACAACATTGAATGAGCCAGCAGTGAGGGGCCAAGGCAGTGACATTAACTCAACTATCAAATGCCAGGCTGAGTGAAATGAGTGGAGAAGCAGCAAGCAGAGCAAGTCAGATCTACTCTAGTAAAAGTTACATAAAATACTCTGTTATAGAGACTCACAGTCTCTATAGGCTCTGTTACAGAGCCTCAGAGGAGGCTCTCAGAAAAGGTCATTCAAGCAAAACCTATCCTATCAGTCCAATATAGTGATAAGAACATTGGTAAAGCAGTGAAGAGACCTGGATATACCACTCCTAGCTCTGCTACCCCAAGGAAGTCACTTAACTTTTCTTGTCAGCTTTCTTATCTATAAAGTAGTAAAAATTGGAAGAGATGATCTATAACTCTAATAGTAAAATCCTATGGTATTTTGTATCTATAATCAATGAGGAGGGGGAGAGAGAAAAAAAGGTTGGTGTCATATGATACTTTTATGTAGTCAGTAAAGTGCTAAAAGATAAGAAGTCAAGAGATCCCTGGCTCTACTTGATAACTAAAGGTATTTAGGCATTTAGTGGTAATAAAAGGACCAATGGGAGAGGAGAGAGGGATGACAGAATAGGGAAAACACAGGGAAGAAAGGATCTGTGGGCAAAGAGTCAGGAAAATCTCACTATTTGGAAAATTTTAAGAGTTTAATTAGAGGAAAGCCAGTGTTGGGACAAAGATAAAAACTGAGGGACCTAAACAAAGAACTTTAAGAGACAACCCCAACTCCACCCCCACTATGAACACCAATCACACAAGGTAAGATTCATTCTCATGTTCAATACAAATTGATTGAGCATTTTCCATGTGTAGATTAATCATAACCTTTGATTCATAATACACTATCATTTATTTATTAGGATAATGAATTATAGACCCAATCGAAGAACTAAATCTAAGAACTATTCATATAACATCACCAATGACTTATACCTAATGATGTACCCCCACCCTATTCCAACTATCTAATCCCTCTTAGGAGATAACCCCTAACATGAAATTTGGGCTCTTTTTTCTTTAGTTTACCACAGCAATGTACAGACCCATTTAACTGATGTTTAATTTTGTCTGCATATGAACAACATAAAAAGGGCACTTTTAGGCTTGCCATTTTGTTGTTTGTTGGGCTTATCAATTTTTATTCAACTTATTACTAAGACTTCCATATTCCTGAATATCACTATTGGCTCATTTTCATTACTGAATAATAATCCATGGTGAGAATATATTCAAATATATTTATCCATTATCCTGATGGAGACTGTTTCCAAGATTTGCTGTTGCAGGGTTGCTTGGAACATTTGTGTAGACATCTCTGAGTGAACATGAAATGAAACAGGAATGAAAGTGCTGAGTCACATAGAAAAAGCTTTTTGGCTTTGTAAAATTTAACACCAAATTGTTTCCAGTGATTGTATCCACTTATATTCCCAATAGCATAGAAGAGAACTTGCTAATATGCAACTTCTGGTACACCCAGAAGTATTATCAGATTTCTTAAGTTTTGCCATTCTATATGGAATGCTAAATGACCAATGTGGTCTTGATTTTACTTCCTTAACAGTTTTTTGGTTATTTCTTCAGTGAAATGCCTATTCATATCATTTTCTACTCTATCTTTTCCTCATTGTAAGAATTTTTAGACTTGGTTTTATGTGTTCTAAGTGTCTTCTCTGAGTTTGGACCATGTCTTTTCACATAGAACAACAGAAATTCTTGGTTTTAATGAAGTAAAATTAGTCAATCTTTTATGACTTTTAATTCCCTTTTTCTATTTTCTTGCTATTGCTGTATATGAGCAGAACATTTATTTCTTGAAAGTTTAATACTCAATTATAAAACTGCCCGAATTGTTAAGTTTTTTGGTTTGTTTCATTTTTGTGGAAAAATTTAAACTGCTATTTCAATGTCTTTTACAAGTCTTAGAGCTATCCAGACTTTCTGATTCTTATATCAGTTTGTAAAGTTTTATTTTTCTAAGAATTTATTTTGTCAATTTCCAAATTACTAGCATAAAGTTGACAGAATTCAGAATTCTTCCACTAGCTTTTAAAACACTGCTACGTAAAATATGGACTTTCTTTACATCTTCAGAATAAAATCCTTTTTTCTTGTATTTAATGTGACAATGTATATAATAGCGGACAGTTTCAATTGTAAAAGGTGTCTGATACTGAAAATAATGTCTCTAGAAATGTAAGCCAGTGGAAGGAATTTAAGCCTTCAGGTGTCTGCACATATAAACATATATGTCCACATGTCCCACACAATCGGTATTGACAGGCTATTGTCGATACTAAAAATGTGGTCTATTGAAAGCCTACTTTCATCTCTCAATTATTCTCTAACCATTTTCAGAGCCAAGTTCCTATAATGAAAACCATCTCCCTAGAGTTCTATTGAAGAAAAAGGGAAGTAATTCGATTTATCTTGTAAACAATGTAAATTTCTAACAAAAGAAAGTAGAAAGAGACAGACTATATCTATGACTGGGGAAAGCTGACATAGACCAAGTATCCATGATGGAATAGAAGGAGAGCACATAATCACATATTAACAAAATGGATGCAATGTAAATAGTCAAGGAGGCCACAGAGTATTTCTTACCTGAGTATCCAAAGGAAATACTGGAGATGGGGCTCAGGTAGATGCCTTTGCCATAGGCTGCTCCATGCAGCTTGCAGGGAAACACCAGGATGAGCAATATAAGCCTGGGCCCTCCCATGGCTGTATATTAGGCAGCCATAAGGCTTCTCCAGTCCTCTGTCCCTCCATTTATTTTCTCACTTATTCAAGTAACTCTAAGCACCTACTCCTGAAAAGCTGCTGGCTGAAAAATGGATGCTGATGAAATACTAGCTATTGATGCCTTAGAGAATGAGGAGTAGCAGAACCAGAATCAATCCCTCAAAATCCATGACCCATTCCCCAGGATTTGGTACATATATGCAAATTTCTTCCCACGAGGAACTATAAAACAGGGAGTCAGGACAATAACCATTTCTTAGAATTTTATACGATAATGAAATTCAACTATATCAACTCTGAGTAGATAATCACATAAACTGAAAAGCTCTAATAGGTTAGTGTATCATAGTAACTGTGATCAGCAACCCCTACCCACAGCTATATTCTCATCCCTCAACCCAACAAAAAATAGCCTGGAGTCAAATATACATTCCTGTTCATTCTACACATATAGGTCTAACTTCCTCCTAGAGAAGCCTAGGTTTGCAAATGCTGAGGCAAAAATCATTCAGTACCTGAGAGCAGCCTTCCCCCAAACTGAGTGGGACAGGGAGAGGGGAGTAGAGAAAAAAGGAAATGGGGCAAAGACTCACCTGCAGTTTGGTGTAGGATGCATTGACCAGCCCATTGCGCAGGATCGAATGCCAGTTCTCAATGTGGGACCCACTGGAAGGCAGGGTAGAATACATATCTCCTCATGGAATAAGGGTCCCAAGAGCACTTCCAAGACTGCCACACCCACCCATTCTCACCCTCACAGGACATAAAGAAGGACAGAGATACTAGCAATGGACATGCACATGAATATAGTTACAGGCAAGCAAGATGAGTGTGTGTGGCTAATTTCTAGGTCCATCCTCTCTTTTGTGCTTCAGCCAGTAGCATCTAAATTCTCAAGTGCTAATTCAGTATTTCGTTTGCCTAGTCTCTTGCTGAGTTTGTCAACAAATCAAACAAATTCATCTCAAACTACCAAGTTTATCACTGATCCTAAATATGGCTTCCAGTGCTGACTTGACATCTATTTAAAAGGAATATACCACCACTCCCTTTAAGTTACTTTTAATATCCCTTTTCTTCTTCTCTCTCTCTTTCCCTCCTTCCACAATCAGGCAGAAATTGCTGCTTTCCTTCAAAGTAGTTTTCAAATCTATCCTCTCCAATCTGTTCCCTCAACCACAACTTTTTACATGTATAGTATCATTTCTCCTCAATTATATCCTAAGTAGCTTGAGAGTAGAGACTATACACATCATTTGTATTTTTTAATCCTCTATAGTACCTGCCATTTAGCACAAAGTAACATTTAATAAGTATTAGCTGACCAAATGGTTGATGAACAGATAATTCAAAATCATACACTCTTAGTAGAACTTGCTTTCCATTTGTCTCCAACACATCCCCTCACCCCAACCTTAGTCCCTACCACCATCCTCACTGGAAGGCAAAGGTGCTGCCATAGAGCTTCTTGGCGGTCCGGAACCGAGCCTCCTTGGCAGGAGGGCTGCTCAGCAGGAGGAACTGGTGTGAGGTGTGCATGAACTTCAGCTGCTGCCCAGGTTGGGGGTTGGATCAGGAAAACAAAGCAGAAATTGAGATCAGGGAGGGAAGGGTTGGAGATAGGGAGTAACTCAGCCTTAAACAGACCCCCAAATAAGGGAAATATGCTTTGGCCCAAAGATTAGTGTTAATGAACAGAGCAAACCTGGCAGACCTAGGACCAATGTAATTAGTTGGCTTAGAGTCCCTCCCTGCCTCTTAACTTAAATCTAAAAGTTTAGTGAAAGAATGGTCACTTACCCTGCTGAGAGGTAGTTTGACAATGTGTGACCTGTTGCTAGAGATGATCCTAGCGAAAAACAAAAAGAAAAAAAAAGATAAAATAAGCATGGTTAGGTCTTCCTGAACAAAGAAGTCTTGCTTTACCCCGGAAGAGTAAGCATGGATCCCTGAGGTGTATGAATTATGTGAAATGTCAAGGTCACTATCTGGAGACTTTTGTGGTTGGTGATACATGTGTCTAAATAGGTGTGAAAGGGAAGCTACTGACCAAATACCACTTAGTTACAAAGTTGTTTTCAAAAAAGAATGAGAGGGAATAGTTGTCCTACACTGAGGACAGGACAAGAGGAAGAACACAGGAGTTAAGCTACACAAGACAAAAAAAACCAGAAAGGAGTATATATTAGAGTGATGACTTATACTTGGGATTTAGAAACTTAAAATTACAGCTCAGAAGCCATGCCACCTGTTTTCAGGAAAAGCCTGAAGGTTCTCAGGAATCAGGAAGAATAGAAAAGTTATTTTAGGTGTTGAAAACGAAATAGAAGAAACCAGAACTTTCTACAAATTCAAGGACAGATTGTTGTACTATATGCTGGATGAATTGAGAAGACAGAGAACAAAGACATAAAACATTACAGTTCAGCAAGGGGGCATTATCTTCTGAAGTGGATACAGTTTGATTTTTTTGTGCATCTATATGGCTGTGACCTCCTAGAAGGCCTATGCTTGGTCAAGGCATTGAGCTGATCCCAAAGACTAACAAGAGGGAAGCAAGTTAAAAGGGAAAAACTATGTCAGGACAACAGAATAGAAATCCAGATCAGGGAGGAAGAGAAGGGAGGAAGGGCAGTAGAGAATGGTCAGAATCTTTGTTAACAATGGTGCATAGAAGCACAGTGTACATTACAAGGAAGGACTTGAGACAGGGTAAGGGAGTAGAAGGAAGAGAAACAAAACCTCTCTAGATTCACTGAAAACTTAATTGAAGTGAATAGTGTTAATTCCTAAATCCAAGGGAAACTCCACCACCTACTGGGACACAGGAAAAACCTAAGAACATGAGACATGGTCAAAATTTGTAGCATCTGAGTTCTTTTCAAGGCCAAGAAAGTGCAGCCATAAAACTGCTATCTTTAGGAAGAATACTGAAATTGCCTCTAAGAGAAGATGCAGGCTCCATGCCCAATACAAACACCACCCCCTTTCAAAGATAAGCCATTCTGTCATTACCATTGCAGGAGAGGATGGGCCAGGGGATCCAGCTTGTCCATCTGCTTCTTGATTTCCAGATATGAGCCCTGTAAGACAGTGGCTATAAGGTTACCTCCAAGGAGAGGTGGAAGCCCTACAGCTTTCCAGAGACTGACCGTGAGAGCCCAGAGCAAGATAGGAACTGAAGGCCACACTAAGGAAAGAGAAGACAGGGTGCCCACCCTCAAGGAGTCAAGTCAGATTAAGGAGACTCATAAATATGAAAATGACTGAAGGTGCTTACAAACAACATGCAGGTGGGTCTCCCTCATTTTATGCAATTCCTACAGCCCTAACAAGTTATTTGCAAATATAAATAAATAAATATCCCCAAAAGATTAAGGCTAAAGAATCCTGTGATAAAACTTTACATAAAGCTTAGACCTTCTGACCAAAAAAATAAAATAAAATAAAATCACCTCTGCTTGGTGTATATTATCTGTTATTCTGAACTGTGACATATAGGATTTGCTGAGAAGAGGCCCACCTGTAAATGTGAGTACAAATGAATGTCTATTCATGCAGAGACTGCAGACGAGGGGTGGGAAAGTCTGGTGAGGGACAGCCTTGAGTCAAAGGATGGTCACTGCTCCATGTGGCCGCCCCACCTCTAGAAGGATAGAAGATGTAGGCCCCTGGATCTAGTTCCTTACCTCCAAGCCCCCTGCTTTACCCTCCCAGCCATGGGCATAAGTTTTCTCCCTTTTCTATTTCCCTAAGAATTATGAGGAAAACATTAAATATGAACAACTTGTGAAAGAATTAGTAGCAAAGGTAAAGGTTGAGAGATACATCAGAAGAAAGAGGAGTAACAACTAACAAAACAGAACAAAAATTGGGAGGCTAAAGAGGGAAGACTAAAGAAAATACAGTGAGAAATTTAAGTAGTATCTCTAAATCTTCACCTGACTCTCCAAAATTCTAAGCTTCAGAATAGGACAATTGAGTGAAGCAGGCAGTATGCAGGAGATAGAGAGCAGAATACCTGGGTCATCTCCCGGATGGACATCACACTATCCAGAGCTTTCTGAAGTCGCTCATAATTCTTTTTCTGTGGAAAATATAGGTACAGAACCATATGAAGAAGAGTGAAAAAGTGTAAGAAGACAATGAAAAGGAATATCAGATGTACAAAAGTAGTCTAAATCCCAGGGAAACAACGTAGTATGTCATTGAAGGAATACAGAATTCTTACCACAGAGTTCTGGAATCATATCCTAGTTCTCTTTTACCAACTTTGTGTAAATGAAAACAGAAAGTCCCACCAGTCCCATAAAAAAGTTCTGAGCATTAAAAAAATATAAAGTACTTAATAAAATGCCTGATATATAACAATAAGTGTCTGTGGTTAATTTGTTCAATGGTTAATTATGTTGTGCCAACTTGACTGGACCAAGGATTTGGCCAATTATCAACCTGGGTATGTCTATGAAGGTGTTTCTATGTGATATTAGCCTTTGAAAAAGTAGACTATGCCCTCCCTAATTTAATGGGCCTCATATAGTCAACTGAATAGAAGAAAAAAAGCTGAGTATACCGACCCTCTCCTTTCTGACTGCCTGGAGCTGGTGCATTATTCTTTCCCTCATATCAGCCTGGAATTGTAAAATAGGGGCATATTGTGTTAGGCCCCTAGGCCCCTCTGTCTGGGTCTCAGACTCACCCTGGGCCCAGAAAAGAGGGCAGGCAAATAGCATTCCTGGTGCCAGCTCCTGGAACGGCTGAAACTAGACCCTGATTATCAGCTCCTGACTCATGACTGAGACATCTGTTCTTAGAAACCCATCCTTGAGTGTTGTGAAGCTTGTTACTCTTTGAATTTGCATCGGCTCTGATGTATGTAACGGCCAATAAGGGCCTATATATTCTCTGGCATTCCTATGGTCTGGGTCTTGCTCTCCCTGTGTGGCCTGCATGCCTGCAGGAAGGCTTGACCCCAGCTAGCTGGCTTAATAAACTCTGCTTGCTTGTGCAACTCTGGTCCTGTTCTTTGTTGCGGGGGACAACCAGGTGATTTCGGACCTTAACACTGGATCTCAAGCCTGTTTGCTTATGGACTGGAATTTACAAAACCAGTTCTTTGGTCCTGCAGCTTGCTGATTGCAGCCTTCATAATCACATGAGCCTATTTCATATAATAAATTGCTTTCTATATGAATCTCTTATTGGTTTTATTTCTCTGGAGAATCCTAACTAACAGTATTTTACGTACATTCTCTCTCATTTTGTCGACTATCTGCACTATAGATAACCCCTGCTTGCATATAAAGAGACTGAAATTCACAAAGTGGCGTGCCTAACAGCATTCAGCTAGGGAGCAGCAGAATCTCAAAATGGAATCTAAGTCTGTCTGACTTTAAGCTTATGTTCTTCTCTAATAGTGACACAATTAACATTAATTCGTTCCCCCTCTGACAAACTGAGGGGAAACAGATAATGCTTAGGGTTTGAGAGTTTCCAAAATCAAGTGTTCAATTTGTTCTTTTCCTTATTCCAAACTGTATGTACCCTGGAATGAAGGCCTCCTATATTCCTTAACCTTGACTTTCTTCCCACATAACTATACCTTAGGGTTAAAGGCCAGAGTCTTGGGATCAGTGGGGTCCACCACAGAAGGATAAGGCTCAAAGATGATGCTCTTTCTAGGGGACTCCAAAGCTGCCCTACACATGGCCACCAGCAGATCCACCACCTCAGAAGAATGAAAAGAAAGGAGACAGAAGTTAAGTGATTTCCTAGTATTGAGATTCACACAGATCTGTAGTCTCTCAGCATTTCTCTGTGATTGTTTAAAGATATATTCATAGCTTTTAATTAGAAAATAAAAGTTCATAATAAAATTCATAATGATTTAAAGAGATTAAAAAGAAGATAAAGAGTATTCTACTGCTCCCAAACAATTCTCATTCCTCACATGCAATTGCTGCTAAGATTGATATATAGCCTTCTGAATATTTTTATATGGAAAGTTATAATATAAATAGGCAAATAAAAAAAAAGAATTATGGGGCCTCCCTGATGGTGCAGGTGCAGGAGTTAAAGACACAGCACTATTAAGCAATCACCAGTTACTATAACATAAGTTTGATTCCCGGCCAGGGAGCTGACCCACACAGTGCAGGAGACCTCCCCTGTCTTATCACTGCTCCCTTCAGCAGTGTATTTCTGTCAGTCTGCCTGTTCTGTTCCCCACTCTGTCTCTGGTGAATCCTCTCACCCATCACACCTCTGGCCTACCTCCCAGTTCTTGTATACAAAATACTTTAAAAAAAAAATAATTGTTACATATACACCATTGTGTTTCCTTTTTTGTAACTTACCATCCATAAGTAATAGCTATAAAATATTTCTACTGTAAGGACATACATTTCTTTAACTGATGGAGTATACACTTTTTTTTTTTTTTACCATCACACACAATATTAAACACTCTTACACAAGAAAGCATTTCTGAAGGTTATATTCCAAGCAGTCAAAGTGCTGGGTTTCTCTGCCTTTCTCGATCCCAATTTCCCATCAGCATTCTCTCTGCTCATACCTCTGCCCCAGTGGCCACCTCCTCTGCAGCTCCAGACATGACTCCCAGGGTGTAGAAGGAGAAAACGCACAGCTCACGAGTACAGACGGCTGGCTGAGTGGATATAAACAGATGGTGGTGTAGGGGTGTGAAATAAGGAACTGGAGGGAGAAAGGGACAGTTCTAACTTCAGACAACTCGAGAATAAGGTAGGAATTTGGGATCCTCTACTTTAGGAGAAAACCATAAAAAGTGAAGTATTAATGCTGTCTCCATTATGTAGGTAGTTAGATGTTCTGTCTTCTGAATTTCCACAACACTACTCATATTTGTTCTATACTCTTACAGCTAAGCAACTAACTAAGTCTCAGGGGATGGCAATCATATCCAGTCATTTTTATCAATATCTGATTCCTATTTTTAAATATTGGGTGGGATAATATCTGCAAAACTATTCATATTTGCTCATCTTTCTAAACAGTACTGTTAGATTTGTTTCATGAGAAAAACAATTATTTATAGAGTTTCAGAGAGTATGGATAGAATTCTGCCTTTATCACAGATCCAGGAAAAAGAGTATCTAAAGAATAAAGGGGGCTTTGCTAACTAAGGTCAAGGAATAAAGACATATACCTTGAGCATGGACCCATTCTGGAAGACATGCTGCTCATCACACACCACACAGTACTCGTTCAACGTTGGAATCCTCTGCTCTGCATACTTCATGATCTGGGGCAAGAAGAAATTTTATTAAGACTTTTGGAAGTACAGATACAGATATGGGAAATGTAAACACTTTTTTTCCTAAGATTTATTTATTTACGCATGTAAGAGCTGGGGTGAACACCAGAGGTGTGGGGAAGAGGAGTGAGTAGATTCACAAGAGACAAAGTGGGGAGCAGAACAGGCAAATCTACTGAAACACACTGCTGAGGGGAGCTGTAAGAGAGACAGGAGAGGTCAGCTCCCTGGATAGGGATCGAACTGGTGCTGTAGCAGCTGCCATTGCTTCATAGTGCTGAGACTTAATCCCTTAAGCCACCAGAGAGGCCCCCTAATGTCAACTTCTATTCCAGCTACACTCTTTCTCCCTGCCCTGTGTCTAAGGTAGACTCTATTATTAGGCCCTGACTACAGAGTCAGCACCATACTAGAGTAAAAATAAAACCAGCCATGTGTTAAGATACCCTCCTCTTACTTAATGGTATCTATAAACTAAGACAAGTGAGCTAATCTGAGCCTTGGTTTCTTCACTCACAAAGTGGGGCATTATATACATATAAAATGATTGACAGTGATGAACAATTTCTGTGAAAAGTACTTTATAAACATTAACTGGTAATCCCACCATTAACACCAGTTGTAATTGTTACAGAATGTCCTTCCAGGACAGGTATTTGGTCCATGATCAGACAGCAGGGGATCTAAGCAACCATCTCAAATACCTAGAAAAATCAACCTGTCCAGTGGTCAAAACAAATACAACTTTGGTAGGAAAAGAGCACAAATCCAGAGGTCAAGCAGCAATAACCTAAAGTTCTGTTTCCTTTTTAAGCACTCTGTCTTAACATAGTTTTTAAATCAGGTACAATTTGTGTATAAATCAAATTATCCCAGTCCCACATACTTTTTGGCTAGGAAAAGGAAATGGGGGGTTTCACTAGGATACAATGCAGATCTGTTGAATGCCTAGTCTGTACCTAGTTTGGTGAAAGGTCTCCTTGATTATGGAATTTTTTTTTAAGACTTATTTATTTATGCATAAAGAACTGAGATACAGGCCAGATGTACAGGTCAGAGACAGAGTGGGGAGCAGAGCAGGCAGACTGACGAAGTACAGTGCTGAGGGGAGCAGCGGGCGAGACAGGAGAGGTCTGCTGCACCATGTGGATCACCTCCGGGCAGGGATCAAGCTAGTGCTGAAGCTGCTGTGGCTAACTTGCAGTGCTGCGTCCTAACCCATTGTGCCACCAGGGAGGGCCCGATTTTGGAATTTTTTTTTTTTTTAAAGATTGATTTATTTATGCATACAGAATTGGGGTACAGGCCAGAGGCTCAGGGGCAGTGAGAGGCTTCACCAGAGACAGAGTGGGGAGCAGAACAGGCAGATCGACGAAGTACACTGCTGAGGGGAGCAGCGGGCGGGTCAGGAGAGGTCTACCGCGCCATGTGAGTCACCTCCAGGGCAGGCGGGGATCGAACTCATGCGGAAGTGGTTGCTTAGTGCTGTGCTTTAACCTGCTGCGCCACCAGGGAGGGCCCCGATTTTGGAATATTTTAACAGTGTCTTCTAAGACCCTACACTCCAACAGGGGAAATGTGGCAAATATGCAAATTAATTTAAATTCAAGGCAACATAGGGTGCAAAAGTTTAGTGAGAAGAAACACCATTCCAGTTAATATACTTGGAGTAATGGAGATTTTATGTAAAAGGTGGCACCCTAAATCTTGACATAACAAATGTATTAAAGATACAGAAGTCCAGGGAATAGAGACTAATAAAGAAGCAGTAATGAACCAACAATAAAATCAGTCTATGAAGAAAACTGAAGGCCCACAAGCAAGGCTGCTGAGGATCATAAAGAAATTAGTGGGATTCCCTCCCTCGTCTATGCAGTGCCACATCTGCACTTGCTTATAACTGTCTGTAAGTGCTGTCTTCCCAATAAAACCGTAAGATTCTTGAAGATGTGACTTTGCCTTCTTTTCTCCTTATAACACTTAGTATAGTTCTTAGAAGACAGCAACTCAGGAAATATTCATTAAGTGAGGTGGGTCACAGAAGAGTGGAAGAACTTTAGAATAAACTTGTTTACCTGGACAAGGAATCCATATTCCAGAGTGGGGATGTTCTTGCAGTGACCACTGACCTAATGAGTAAAAAGACAGACCCCATGAGATTCCTATGAAGTTGGTGTCTACAGAGACCTCATTCACACTCTTCAGTTAGGGGTTCCTAAAGCAGCTAAACGTGAGCTCTAATCAGACTAAGTAATCCTAAAGTGAGACAAAAGACTGACATTTTTGCCAAAGGTTCTGGAAAAGGGTTCACCTGTCCTTAATCCTCTTTATGTAGCTACAATTGCTGTTAGAGCAGCAATTGACTATCAAGTCTTAACCAAAGCCTAATAAAACCATACATGATTTCTCCTTAGGATGCCCAATCCCAGACTCTACTTTATGGCCTATTTTCAGAAAAGTTTCTCTGACAGCTTGCTTGCTTACTTATTTATTGTGCAGAAGAACTGCAGTGTAGGCCAGAGTGGGTTGTGTGTGTGTATGTGTGTGGTTGTGGTGGTGGGAGGCAGGAAGGAGGACTCACCTGAGACAGTGAGGAACAGAAAGGATATACTGAAATATATTGCTAAGGGGAGCAGTGGGCAAGACAGGAAAAGTTTGCTCTGCCATACATGGGTTAGCTCCCTGGCTGGGATCAATGCAGACCAGAGAAATCCCTCCCTAACAGTTCAAATATCAGCTTTTAGCTATTAAAAATGTGTCCTATCCCACCCACTAATGGTATACACGCAGGTTTCATTTATGGTACCAGAACCACCATGCCCCCAACCACACTCTGAGAAGTGACACTCTCACATTTCCACACTCACTTTCCAGACACCCAAGTAAAACCCTCCCCAGCACATGTACCAAAGGAGAGGTCCGAGCTGGGGGAGGGAGGCCCACGTGCTGGGGGCACAGGAGACCTGCCTGGGGGCTGGGAGGGTAGCCAAACACCTCGACTTTGGGATTCTTCATGGTGCAGGAGATGGAACGGTTCATGAGGCGACCAACCCGAAGCTCTGGTACCCCCAGTTTGCCTTTCAGCATAGAGTCCTGTATGATAGGGAAACTGGGAGACCTGAATAATAAGGAAAGAGAAATTATAAAAATGGGGATTCAGGGTGCACCTTAAAAGAGGACTGGTAGTAAGTGCAACATAAGCCAAGTTAGGTGAAATGATCTTAGTCAACGAACAACTCATAAGTAAGGAAGTAGATCACTGGTATGAATAGATATTATGTCATTATCTGTATGGTCTTCAGATTGGAACATGGAGACAGGGAGAAGCGAAGTCTAATTCACACTCTATAGCATCTAGGTAATATATGGAATAATTCTTTGGAGAAGATACATGTATCATTTACTCAGTGTGAGTGTGTGTTTATACATATATGAGCAAGTACTAAACATTGCATCCAATCCAATGTCAGTCAGCGGTTGTGCCGGACAAATTATAAATTTGGGTCTCTATTTGACTTTGAAAGATCAGAAGATGTGGGGGCATGGGAATTAATGGAGCAATATTATTTCCAAAATACATATTAATATGTAATATGTAAGATAATAAATAAATGTACCCTTGCATATGATCAATATGATCAAGGCTTGATGCCTATCTACTGACTCTACACTCCTTAGGTAATAATAAGAAGGACCAAAGAATTAAAAGATGGAGAGATCGACATGTACTTCTCTAAATACGTACCATAAGCTAGGTAGAGAGTTCTACATAAAGGATAAAATACAAATATTTAGTGAGGAATAGAAAGTGAGGACACAGTGGGGCAGGACTACATGGGTGATATTAGTAGTTAAAGGCACAAAATTGAAAGGATCTAGGGAAAGAAGAAGATATTAAGGTAAGTTTAGGTAATCAATAAGATAGGATGGGGCTAAGACAAGATTAAAGTAACCAGTTCCTGGGGGAGCACTTACTTGGGGATGGGTGAGAAGATGCTGAGGCCAGCTCGGAACTTCTTGATGGTACCACTTGCCTTGAACCAACTGTGCCTCTTCTCCTGCTGGGTCTTCAAGAAATCGTTGCTGAGATGTTTCCATTGTTGGGATGTGAACATACCCAGGATTCTAAGGAGTTAAAAAGAGCAGGTTTAGGCCCTCCCTGGTGGCGCAGCAGGTTAAAGCACAGCACTGAGAAGCTAAAACCACTTCCACATGAGTTCGATTCCCGCCTGCCACGGAGGTGACCACATGGCGTGGCAGAACTCTCCTGACCCGCCCTCTGCTCCCCTTAGCAGTGTACTTCGTCAATCTGCCTGTTCTGTCTCTGGTGAAGCCTCGCACCGCCCCTGAGCCTCTGGCCTGTACCCCAGTTCTGTATGTACAAATAAATAAATCTTTAAAAAAAAAAAAAAGAGCAGGTTTAGGAAGCTCAAGCAGGGGATTAAGTTAAGAAACAGGACTATGAAAGGCAGCTAAACTGAAATAAAAAACTAGTTGTGAGAGGAATGTGTGTCTGAAGATTCTGTGATACAACCTCACCACAAGGAAATGCACTGCCCCTAAGTACCTCTTTACCCTAGAGGGTAAATTGGCACTTAGTCTTGTGGGAATTCCCTGGTGATGCAAGGCGCTGTAAGACACAGCATTATGAAGCTATCTACAGCCACTGCAAGACGAGGGCGCTGGCCCACATGACATGCAGATCTTTCCTGTCTCACCTGTTGCTCCCCTCAGCAGTGTATTTCAGTAGTTCTGCTGTTCTGCTCCTCACTGTCTCTGGTGAATCCTCTCACCCCCCTCCCACACCAAATGTCTAGCCTATACCCAAGCTGTTGTATGCATAAATAAATAAATCTTTAAAAACACGTCTCTTAACCTAAAGGACAAGAAAAATTTTGACATGTTTTTGCCTCTAGGAAGATATTAAAGGTAAGCTTTCGATTTCAAACTGGCAATTTAACACCAAGAATAACCACTGAGAATGGAACGGAATTGTGATGGAGTGGAGAACCCTCTCCATTATGAATAGTGAAGAAAAGGACTTGGGGCATGAGAGACTCTGAAAACGTTATATCCCCAACTTATGGTTTCCAACTTTAGCTGGGCTCTCAGCTATTCTTATAAATCCTTTCACTTTGTCCTTCATCAGTACTCTCTAGCATTCCTCTAAACTGTTGTTCTAAATCTTTACCCTCTTCTTTAAGCTACTAATTTCACCTACAACCAATAATCTTTCTTCCTCCTAAACAGAGAAAAATTGAAGCTATCAGATACCACTCCTACTTTGATATCTCCATTCCCTGGAGACAAGGTGACCCTTTATCCTCTACATCTCACTTGTCTCTTCATCTGTCAGGTATCCTATCAGTCCTTTCCCAAGGTCTACAAAATGTTTCAAGTTTCTGCACCTCAGTCTAGCTACCTGTACATCTTCCTCTCTTTATCCATTTTTTCTCAATCCATACTTACTGTTCCTATCCCACTGTCAACCACTCTTCAACTTAATGCATTTTGATTTATTTTTTTTACTACTTCACCATAATTGCCCCTTGATATTAAAATCTAACAGAAACTTCTAAGTTTTTAATTACCCCCCTTGGCACCTGGCCCTTTTAGAAACTCTCCTCTTGTTTCAGTGACACCATTCTCTTTCTACTCTTACTCAATTTCTTTGATGTAGGACCTTCAGTGCTTCTTCTTCTCTACCTACCTTGCTGGTGTCAAGAGCATTTGTCTGGGTGTTAAGGGAGTTTTATGCCAGATCTTGTTTTCTCAGTCTATCATGCACTCCCTGAACAATTTCATATTCTACACTGGTTGTTAATTTCTACCCATACACTGATATGCATCAACCTTAATCTCTCCTCTAGGGACCAAATCTACCTAACTATATTGAACAGCTGCACTTGAATTTCCCAAGGTTTTTTTTAAGATTTATTTATTGTGCATACAGAACTGGGGTACAGGCCAGAGGTGCAGGGGCAGTAAGAAGGTTCACCAGAGACAGAGTGGGGAGCAGAACAGGCAGATCTTCAAAATACACTGCTGAGGGGAGCAGCGGGCGGGTCAGGAGAGGTCTGCTGCGCCATGTGGATCTCCTCTGGGGCAGGCGGGGATCAAGCTCATGAAAAAGTGGCTTTAACCGGCTGTACCACCAGGGAGGGTCATAAACAAAATATATTTAAAGTGTAACTTATTATCTATCTCACCCCACAACCTTGCTCCTTTTTCTTAAATAACTATTAAAATTGAGTATTACATTTTACCCAGATATTTAGGTTGGAAACTAGAATACTTTTCCTCTATTCTTTGCCTCTCTTGTGATCATATAAAAATATCCAGACCAGTCTTTACATCTATTTTTTTTAAGATTTATTTATGTATACAAGAACTGGAGTGTAGGCCAGAGATGCAGAGGGTGAGACGATTCACCAGAGACAGTGGGGAGCAAAACAAGTAGATCTACTGAAACAGAGGGCCACAACAGATAAAACATGAAAGCCCTGCTGCACCATGTGGGTCAGCTTTCTGACTGAGGATCAAACTCTAAACTCTAGCTGTAGTGACTGGTGATAGCTTGATAATGCTGAGACTTTAACCCCTGTGCCACCAGGGAGGCCCCAGTCTTCACATCTTATTGATTTTTATACCTTACTAATGTCTCTGATATGTCACTCACCTATGCTCTCACCTACGATTTAGTTCAGGACTCCCTTATCTCATGGTTGGATTTGTTCTACTCTAAACCCCTCAAACCACTACTATGCTACCAGATGGTTTTTCAAAAGCTAAATTTGACTGTCATTCCTTTGCTTCAAAAACCTGTAAGGCTCCTAAAAAATAAAAGCCCAAGATCTCTGTTTTGGACTCAGTTTGGCTTCAGTTCCTATCATTCTCCCCTTACATTTATTTGAAGCCTCCTACAAGACGATGCTTCACTTGACTACCTTTGCAAAATGTTACTCACTCCCAGAATCTATCTACACTGAAAATTATTATTCACCCTTGAAAACCAACTACTACCTCTCTTGTAATCTTTCATTCAAAGCCCTTTAACTGCCACCAGATTCTTTTCTCTGTGTTCTTTCAAAAATTCACACATTTAATTGTATGAAAGCACATGTCCACTGGTCTCTAGCTGGAATTTTAAAGAGTAGAATCAGTAATTCACTACTCTGTTATACTAAATACTTTCCAAGATGTTCAATGCATTCAATAAACTAACAATGTCCAAACTCCTGTATCTCCAGTCTGAGAAAAACTTTAAGGAGAGATGTGAAGACAGTGGAACTAATTCCAGTGATATCATTTTCCTTAAATGAGAGAGCCTCCCATCTTACTTCCGGAAGTCTCAAGGTCAGACACTCCAGAAGCACAGGTTTCCCCAACCTACCCATAAATCTGGCTCCCCAAATTTATTTAGTCTTTCTTCAGTTTAGTTCAGAAGTACATTTTTGGAAGAAAACAGTCATCCAATGATCTGCCTGTCCATAAATGTCTCTCACTTCCTGCTTGGTACATGAGCAGAAAGATCAGAATTCTTACTTTTTCAACTGAAGACCCAGCCCAAATCCTTCTTTATTTGATGGCTGAAAAACCTCAATTGATGGTTCTGCAAAGAAAAAAGAAAGTTGCTAGTATGTACATCTTTATCCTCCCAAGACATTTCAGCAAATTAGCTTCCTCAGGACTCTAAGGGGGTGCTAAACAATAATGGAGGAGGAAAATATCTGAAGCACAGAGTAGATTCTGAGAGCTGTCTGATTCATTTCAAATAGTCTCAGTAGGAAGCTGAGGAATAAACATATCTAGGAAACAGAGAAAATAATCCCATTAACCAAGACAGTCTTCCGAGGACAGCTATTAGGTGACAGGGAGTGCTGACTCCAATGATAGGAGACTTCAATGCCCCTACAAATGACTTGTGCACTGAGCCCAGGACCTTGTTTCTTCCTACTTTTCTCTATTTCAATAGGCTTCGAACTGGGATTAGACCACACTCAAGAGCACCCACTTGTCCAAAGACACTGCCTTTACCTGGTCCATCAAGGTACTGGGAGAGAGAAAATCGTAGCCTCAACACAATAGGTTCTGTACGGAGGACCTTCCAGGCTGTAGAGACTTCCTCCTAAGAGTAAAGGAAAGAGTTAATATTTTAGCAACAGAGGAATGGATGTGAAGTTTCCCTATATGACACAGACATGCACATGACAGTACACACCACTGTCTGCTGATGGTGTAGGAAAGACAGGGATGAAGAATATGTGCTCCAATTATAGCACTCAGGAACAAGACTTCTGGCCTACATGACAAAATCCACAAGTCCAGCTAGACGTTGTTGGCAAGTACTAGCACCACTTACATCGAGGAAGCTGATGTTGATGTGGAGGTCAATGTCAACGTCATCGATAGTTCCATATTCTCTATAGAGATACAGGTGACCACAGGTGAGACTCATTAGGGGAGAAAGAGAGGAACAGACTGAGGTGGAGGGGGAACTGAACCTGGGGACAGGGGAAAGGGAAAAGTGGAAGGCAGCAGTGGCTCTAGACTCTGCAATAGCCTAAGTCACATCGATGATCACTACTTTCTCCAGGTCAGAAGGGCATCTCATTATCTCCAAGGTGAAACTATCAGGCTAGAGGAGTCTAGGCTACAAGTACTATTCTGTCCTATACTCGTTACACTTCCCTACTCACTCCTGTCCAGCTAACCTTAAATACTGTGAGCAACTCTCACTACCATTAAAAATTTAGCTGAGCCCACAGATCCCCATCACACCTTAATTAAAGAAAAAAACCTCTAGCCTTTTAACAATTCAGATATCTTCCCTGGAGTCCCACCTGATAGATACAGAGTTCTCACTGTAGATTTCCTTCACGGCTTCAATGTCTGCATCAAGCTGTGGGTGTCGATACAGGTCAGCTGCACAGCTTCCCTGAGTCAGCAGCAAAAGTGGTGGTGGTGGTGGTGGTGGTGGGAGTGGGGAGACAAAAGAAGCAGCAGATTATAAAAACCAACAAAAAAATAAACAGGAAAATCAAATTATTAGCAGCACGAAACAGCTGCTTCTGTAAGGTTCTAAGTGGTAGCACTAGCTGGGGATTTCAATAACAGATAAATCTCTCTCCATTCCCACTCTTAAAGTTCTAGAAGCTGCAAGTGTTGCTTGAGTAGTTCAGATTCTAGTCTCTAGCTTTTCTTCCCAAACTTTAACTAGATACTTAAATGTCCCTTTGGTGAGAACTCAGGACAGGTTAGAGTGCTTTCAACTCAGATTGGTTCTCTTTGAAAAATACAGTGTTCCTGCTCAGGGTCATGCCTTAGCATTATCACTGGTAGGGTAATCTTTTAAAAAGTCTGACATTAATGAATGAAATAGCTAAAGAGGGAAGTCAGAAAATAATACATTTCCAGCTAAGTGCAAATGGATAGCTTTTTTGAGGAGGAAAGGTTTAAGTTCCAGGGAGGTACAAGGATATGAGATTAGTTGACAAAACCATAGTCAGACCACACTAACATATCCTCATCTCATTTCTGCTCCAGAATAATCTTTCACTACTGGTTTATCCAGATAGAAGCACATACCAAGACCATCCAACATGGGTCTGGGGTTTGTAACCTCACCTGAACTCCATAGAGAAATTCCTCTGATTCATTATCTCCCTCCGAATCGTCATCATTCCAGAACTGGCCTTTGATGTCCTAGTGATGAAAAATGATATAATCCTTTGCTCGTTTCTTGCTATCCCATGGAACACGGTAGAGTGATAAAATGGGAAAGATGCCCACAAAGAATATGAGAAGGCCCTTGGGATAAAATAACTGAGGTCCTAGTTTCTTTACTAGTCCCTTCTCCTCACCCTTTGGGAGGATCTGTCTCTTCTGACTGTGGTCATATCTGTGGTATAGTCCTGAGTTGCTGGGATGGAGGAAAACAAGAGAGAACTGCAGACTTCTTCCTATGACGATTGAGGCTCTGGTAGCCAGTGAGGGAGGGATGGAAAGATTTCAATGTCAAGGTTGATCCCTAGACAAGTCTAGGTTTGCGTACAAACTGGCCTCTTTAAGATCATTACCCAAGGCAGCAGCTGCCAAGAATACTTAAGGTCTCCTGTCTCATTACCCCCTTTCTATGCTTTATTCTCTCTTTTCTTCCCAAGAAGATCCACCTCTACACATACCCAAGTACAGGGTATCAACAGGGTTAACATTCCAGTGGACACTTGACACCATGAGCAGTACCTAACTATATATATATACTTATATGCTATATACCTATGATAAAGTTTAATTTATGAATTAGGCACAGTAAGAGATTAATAGCAATAACTAAAAATGAAGTACAATAATTAGGACAGTTTATTATAAGTTATGTGAATTTCTTATTGTATATACTTTCAGTTGTCTGTGAATACCTAAAACTATGGAAAACAAAACCACAGATAAGGGGGACTATTGTGACCCTGTTTCCATGCCTCTTCTTCAACTTCAAATAGCCATTCTACCTTTTAAAAAGGTGGGAAGGAAAATACAAAGAAAAAGTTGTGGTCTGCCCTTTGTCCCATTTACCCCCTGGATGATCAGTTGAAGCAGTGGGCAGTCAGTTCTCACCATTGGGTCAGTGGGTCACACACACTCCCAGTTCAGTGCTAGGCAGCACCCCTCCATACCACCAGCTGAACCCTGGCCAATGAGATGGGCATTTAGGAGGCCACAAAGGAGACAAGGGAAGGGACAATGTCAGGGGCTGACTGGAGATCTGCTGGGGGATGGTAGGCTCGGCTGTTGTCGTAAGAAGTCACTGTCCTGTGGAAAGTAGACAACAATTGGTTTCATCACCACTGAACAGCTGGATGGTATATACACAGGCACACATGTTTACAGATACACTTTTATTATACAGATGTACAGATACTTGCACAAAAGGAGACATGCATGGACACACACTTGTTTACATAGTTCTTTTGAGATAATAAACCAAGAAAGCACTATACAAACAGACAGTATTGTTCCATTTAAGCTAGAGGCATGGGAGTGAAGTAAGTCCCTGTTCTAGTTAAGGTTGCTTAAACAACTACTCAAGTCAAAAGGAACGGTGGTAGTACCAGATTACAGTACTCCATTTTGGAATATTCTTCACAGACCAACTCCCATCAAAACTAGATTCTTTTTATAGACTTTTTATCTTTAGAAATTTCCCTGCTTAAGTCATTATCTGTTTTTTAAACACTGATATCAGTATTTTGGTATGAAAATCATAGCTAACTTTGACAGGAAATCCTCAGATCAACATCATCTGAATTATCAGAGCCAAAGTAATGCCCGACACTTATCTTGGTATCTACTCTTCAAATAAAAATGACGACTTTTAAACTAATGCCATTCTCAGCAACATGGATGAAGCCAGAAGGGATTGCACTCAGTGAAATAAGTCAGAAGGAAAAAGAAAAATAGAGGGTGGTCTCCCTTATAGGAGGAAAATAGGGGAACCAAAGATTCAGGAAAAAAAAAAAAAACACAAAATGAAAATAGAAAACTAAAAATCAAAGATACTCTGCATGAGAGGGGGGAGGGAAGAGATCAAAACAAGGGTGTTAGTAAGAGCACAAGGGACTATGGTGATGGTGCATGGGTGAATTGGTGGAAGAAATTCTATGGGGATTACACCCAGGAAAAGAAAGCAAACATTGCAAAAACATGAACAATAATGTAAAATATGTTATTTTTTAAAATAAAAAATGCTATTGTGATCCTCCCAAAAAGTTTATAAAAACACAAACCCTTAGCCCTTTCCTATACAATTCCCCTGCTTCAACCCTCCAGCAGCAACTTTTAGTTTCACTGAAACCTCCATCTACAAAATATTTTTCATTTGTCAAATTATGATGGTTCTAATGGCATAGAACCGCAAAGCTACTTTAAGAGCAGGCTTAAAAAGCTTTCTGTCACTCTCTAGATCAGTAGATCACAAAATGTTTATACACTGCAATCATCCTTAGGTTTCCAGACTGGTGGAGTCAGTAGACCTGAAGCATCAGGGTTATATGGAACTTGTTAAAAATGTAAATCCTCAGTTCCCACCTAAGACCTAATCTACAAACTCCACTTTTTTAAGCCCTCTCAGTTATTCTGATGCATGTAAAACTGGAGACTATTATTCTAAACCCTAGAGTTCCAAGAGTCCATGGTCTATTCAGATACCAAGGTAAGCTTGGTAACTGACCCAAGGTGGGGAAATAAGTTAAAAAACAGGGCAAATTAGCACAACAGTCCTCCAGTTGTTGGCACTGCCAAATTTATCAAAACCAGTACACAAAAGGACACTGCAACTTCAATTCTTATAGATGATTTGAGATTTGCTTTAAAATACTACTCCACCATAAAATGATGGCAAAATGTTGAGGCTGAGTGATGGGTACATTAGGATTGCATATATTCTACCTTCGTATACTTTAATAGCTGGAAAATTTTGTAACAAAGTATTTTAAAAATCAGAGGCTAGTTATTCTCTTGCAGAGGTAACCTAGAAAGTCAACTCTATATGTGAACTGGAAAATTACTTCTAAAACTAAACAAATGCCTCCTGTTCTTCAAACATACCAAGTATAATCCCACCACAGGGTCTTTTTCCTTGTTCCCCCTTCTCTCTTTAAAAATTCTGCTCAAAGGTCACCTTGACCACCATAAAACAGCAACACCCCAACACACATATACTATTCTGTTCCCTGCTTTACTTTTTCCCACAGCTTTCACCACCCTGACATATAAAGCATTGTAGATTTGTCACCTACCAGAAAATAACATCTACAGTGACAGATCTTAACTGTTTTCACTGTTGATATTCAACACATATTTACTGACTGAGTGAATGGATAAACCATACCTGCTGGATAACTAAGTCAAGGGGATATTACACACAAAAACTTAGATGTAGCTATACACTAACAAAATCATACAAAACTAATTTTAAAAAGCAAGACTCCATTCACCTTCAAGTGCAGCTGAGACTCCAAATATGAAGCTCTGGAGCTGAATTTGTGAGATTTGAAAATAAACAGTCAGGTGCTGATCTGGATGATCACAGAGGAATAAAGAGGGAGGCACTAACATCCAGCCTGGGCTGTCTTGGGCTGGGTGATAGGATGACGGCAGCGTAGGCCAGAAGTACCAACTTTTTCAAGGTCTCTGTGTAGATGTCAAGAAAGACAGCCTTTCCCCAAGGGCTGTTCCTGCTCGGTTTCTGCTGTTATGAGAAAAGGGTAATTCAGTGGGAATGGTTTGTTTTGTGGGGTTTTCTGTTTGTTTTTTGGTCTAAGAAAGAGACAATTCAGACTACCAGCTTTTCCAAGTCAGGCTGCTTCAGAAAAAAGGATTCCTACCTTCTATTCTCAATGACAATGTCTTTCTGAGCGATGGAAATGGGTTTAAAACATGAAGAATGGGCAAAGAGGAGAGGTGGCTCACAAAACTCACAAATCCCTGAACTTTTAAAAAGGACTATGGCTTGAAAGAGGGCCTATTTCAGAGCTTTCATGCCATATAAAGATCACTCCAGAACACAGAGGTTACAGTATTTGCTTAAGGTCAGGAGTATAGCGAGGAGTATAGCGGACCAGGACTGAGGCACATTTGTCAGGTCCTAATTACATTCGGAACTGTTAAGAATTAAGCAAGAAAGACCCATCTATTTAGATTTATCTAAATGAGGGAAGGAGGGAACTTTTCAAGAGAAGCTTGGCAAATGAAGACCTGTGAAGAGTGCCCAGAGAACGGCAAAGCAGTAGTTAGTTCAGCTCAGCGATTGAGATGCAGGCAGCTAACAAAGAACGCTTTAGTGATTTGCAAGGCAATAAGCTAAATGTAAATAAGCTTCAAGTCCGGATGACAAAGGTCTTTCCGTAGGTGCCGGAGCGCCTCTAGACCGGACAACTTTACATTTATTCAAAGCAGCCTCCATCTCAACATTTAAACTCGGGGTTTGCCTTCTAGCTTTGTGGTTCGGGGAGAGGCGCTACTCCGCTCTATTTCAAGCGCTCCCCTCTCAGAAAGACCAGGCCACTGAACAAAGAGTGCGGGGGAGAAGCCGAGGAGGACAGCTAGCGCTATCCCGGGTACCTGGTAGAAGGAGAGGACGGGGTTACTCCCAAAGCACTAGCTGCCGCCCGCACTTGCAGGCCCTGAGGCCTCCTCCCTAAGGGGAACAGTTAGCGGTCTTCTCCGGCTTCCTCCGGAGACGCCCAAGACACCCAACACCAGCCTCCCGGGGAGGCACCGCTCAGTGCCCGATCTGTGTTGCGAGCCGCTCGGAGAGAGCGAAGCCGGTGAAGCCCAGCCGGGCCCCTCAGAGCC